TGTACCAAGTGCGATGTTATGTACACATGTGGAGCCTATTAAATACTTGATGTGCTAATGAATTCTATGATAGCAATAATAATAAAAATAATTAGATGGCAATAATGACCCTCATGGGGAACATTTATAGCCCTATCCTAAGTGCTCGGTACCTGAGTGAAGACAATTAATTCTCTTACTACCCTCATTTTCCAGATGAGGACATGGAGGGTCAGAGAAGTTAAGAACTTGACCGAGGTCACACAGCTGGGTGGCACAGGCAGAACTTGACCGGTCCTGCACCAAGCTCTTTGGGACCACTGCAGGCTGCCTCCCAGCCGCTCAGAGAGGCGTTGAAATGTTAAAAAGCGCCTTGTGTGAAAACAAAGAGAAAGGTCTGCTAGACATTTCCATCCACTCCAAGGGACTTCTCTCCAGGGCCGTGGTAGGCACGAACCTGCACTGCACCTGATGGTGTGCGGAGCTTCATACACCATYCATCTCTCATCAGAGGGGCAGAGAGCTCTGAGGCTCTCGTTGGTTAAGGGAACAGGGTCAAGGTCACCCAGGCAGCAAGAAGCAGAGCGAGGACTTAAATGAACATCTGTCAGCTTAAAAAATATATGAAATCCAAGCGTTAGATACAGAGCTTCTCCAGATACAGAGCTTCTCCATGAGGCTTAAAATTAAATAAGTTGATCCATGAAAAAAGCACCGAGCAGCTCCTGGCACCTGGGACATCTCTTAAAAATGTCAACGCTCACCATCTTCATCAACAACCTCTTGGGGGCTGGGGATGTGGCTCAAGCGGTAGCGGGCTCGCCTGGCATGCGTGCGGCCCGGGTTCGATCCTCAGCACCACATACCAACAAAGATGTTGTGTCCGCCGAGAACTAAAAAATAAAAAAAAAAAATAAAATAAATAAATAAATAAAAAACAAAAAAAAAAAACAACCTCTTGAAAACTGGACTTTTTTGGCCGATGAATGCAGCCAGTCGACCCTGATGGAAAGATTCCTTTCTTGCGTTCATCTCGGGTAATGTTGAAATGATGATCAATCCCCATCATCTCTGGGGGACCATAGACTGTTCCGGGCTGGAAGGGAGAGTGGAGATGATCTCATCCTGTGCCTGCCTTCACCCACGGAGAAAAGGTCAGAAAGCAAACACCAGGCAGGGCCGAGCCAGGGGCAAGACTGAGGCACAGTGCCCCCACACCACCTCCCACGAAGAAGATGCTCTTTCACCTGGAAGGGCATCTGGGTTCCTCAAGTCTACAGGGAAGAATTCATGGGTCTCCCAGCTGTGAGCTCCACCACCCAGCCCCACACAAACTAGTAAAGCATTATAAGCCATTAACCAGAAAGCAGATCATGTGACTTAATTCCACCTCTGCTAAAGGGCTTAAAATGCTTCGGTGAGTAGCCCAAGATTCATAAATAGACACTTCAGCTCTTTTTCAAAGAATTATTAACCAGCTCCATCAGGACGGGAACTTGAGCAGTCAAGGAGAAAAAGAGCTGGCCCGAGAAATTCCCTGCCAAACACTTTGACCCCCAGGGTCTGCCTTCCTGCCCCCTCTCCSCACCGGAGTCACAGGAGGAAGGAGAGAAGCATCATTATGTAAAACGGGAACTAAGAAAATGAACCGTGGAAAACTACTACAGGCTCTTCCTACCTCAAAGTCAGATTTCAAAGGAACATCACAGGGTGTTTGCAGAAAAGACAGAAAGGTGGGGAGGAGGATGAAGCAGAGGAACAGCCCTGACTTCTCTCACAGGCGGAGACGGGTTGAGCCCACAGGCTGCGGGTGTGGTGCTCTGTCTCCCATTTACACTAATGATTTTGGGGAACCTATAATTCATGCAGCCCTGGGATACTCATCTCTGTAGCCCACTGAGCACTAATTCTCCCAGGCGTGGAACCAGCTTTTCATTGTACATGTAGGTCTCCATCAGCTTTAGCTTAAGGATTTGGGGGTGGGGAGGGACAGTGGAGAGAAATGAGATTAGGGTCAGTCTTCAAAGGGAAGGAGCAGGAATAGAAATGCTCTCTGTGCGGTTCCTCCAGGCTTTACGCTTCTCCAGAAAGGGTGGAATTCAAGCCTGGTGAACAAGCTTCCAGCTGCCCGCCCGCCTGTTAACAGCTCCTGGAACGCCAGGGCTGCCCTCCTCCACACCTTTATCAAAGTCAAGCCATTTCCCACATTCCTTCCTTACACAACCCAGGCACACGAGTGAGTGACGCAGGCCTCCAGCACATTCTGCTTGGGAGATCCAGGAAGCTCTGGCCTGGCCCTCCCTTCTGCAGAGGAAAGTCCAGGCAAAGAGGGATGCCACACCTGGGGGGAGGGGAGGGAGGATGTGACAGCACCTCCAGGAATGCAGGGCCCACGCAGGTGCGTTGGCACTCATGAACTTCCTTCTTTAAAGGCCTGATAAATCAGTACCGATAACAGTAATAAAGCTCAGCCACCCCACAACCAGTCACACAGACCCGGCCCCGCTCCTAGGGCGCGGCCCCCGGAATGAGGAGAGGAGGGTGACAGCTGAGACTGCAGGTGTCCTTAGAGGTGGTAACAAGTTTTCTAGTTCAACAGTTGTCACGGTGTGCTCCAGGGATCCCCTGAGAGTCCCCGAGACCCTTTCGGTGGGTTCAAAAGGCCAAACTGTTTTCGCAATCCGGTCATTTTTTTCCTCATCCCCTWCTGTCTCATAAATGTACCATGGAGTTTTCCAGAGAGGACGTGACATGGGATGACGTCATCACAGGTGACTCTTGAATAGGTGCTTCTGCATTCTTGTGTTTTAAACCTCTCCGTTTTAATTCTAAAACGATACTGACAGAGCCCACATAAACAAAATAAGTTTCCTGTAATTTCTAAGATACTTTTTAGTTGCAGTTGGACACAAGAATCTTTATTTATTTTTATGTGGTGCTGAGGACTGAACCCAGGGCCTGGCACGGGCTAGGTGAGCGCTCTACCGCTGAGCCACAAACCCAGCCCCAGTTTCCTGTAATTTTTTAATACTGTAAAATTTGAGACCCCAAAAGTTGAGAACTGATGAACTAATTCAAACAGTTAAAGAGTGTCAGGCTGGTGGTCGTGCATCACACTGAGTTTGAATCCCATCAGCACTTTCTACCAGAGGGTGGGGAGGCAGGCTTACCGTTCCATCAGGTGGCCTGACAAACCTTAAAACCTTTCTAATTTTTTTTTTGTAGTTGTAAAGGGACAGAATGCCGCAGTTTATTTTGATGTGGTGCTAAGGATGGAACCCAGTGCCTGACACATGCCAGGCRAGTGCTCTGCCACTGAGCCCCAGCCCCAGCCTTAAAATCTCCACAAACATTTGATGAACTGGATCCTCCGGGARAAAGATGCTCCTCACTTTTGAACCCGGGGAGCAAAGGTAGCCAGGAAAAACCAACCCAGCTCCAGCACCCGCAAACACAMCTGTGTCAGGCTCTGTGCCAAGCGCTCCCTGTGGGCAAAGCACAAGTGGGAGTTCTCCTTCGGGGTGGTGGCAGGTTATTCGTAAAATTCAAAGAGAAATGAGAAAACTGGAACTTGCCAGAGGCTGGGCAGGAGAGGTACAGGTGCTAGGAGGGGTTCGCCGTGAATGACGCCCCTATGCCCCTTCCCTCCTGGGAAACCCCAGCCCTGTCCTGGCTCCCGGTTCCAACAGCTTTGAGCCTTCAGGGGGTGGGGGCTGCGGGTCCGCTGCAGCCATAATCTGCAATCTCGCCTCCCCAGGGCGGAGAGAACGGTCGTGGGAGAGCCCCAGCCCGGGGCGTTAGAGCGCCTTGGGCCTTCGGTTACCCGGGGACACGGCTCGGTCACTAAGGGAACTGAACACAATCCTGAAGCTGGCGCTGTGGAAACAGCAGCCAAGAATGGCTGGAGGGAGACTTCAGAGGTTCAAGATAAAAAGCCAGCCCCGAGAGGCCGCGGCACACTGCTCGGGCAGCCGGGACCTGCGCGGAGCCCTGCTGCAGGGCGGGGAGGTGCGAGCGGCTCCCGACCACCGCAGGCCGGGACCGAGGTTCTCCCCGGTAACGCTGCACACGCGGGAAAACTTGAATGTTGCAACCAAGAGTTGCCGCCGACACGAAGGGGTGGCCGAGGGGCATTCCGAATGGACGAGAAGGCGGGGACGGGGAATCCTAACAGCCCCAAGGTGCCACGGCGACTGACAMGGACGCGCGCTCCAACCCCAAGCACAGGCGTCTGACTGGCGCGCGCCAAGCGACGCGAGCTCCAGCGGGGCCACCAGGCGCGCGTCCGCGCCTGCGCAATAAGTTCACATCTCTAGATTCTCCACCAGGTGCGCTCGCGCTTCCGGCCGGTCTCCCAGCACTGCCTTCCCGGGGCGGAAACTCCAGGATCAGCGCATGCGCCTTCCAGATCTCTTGCTGGGTCCCGAGAGTAGGCCCACGGCTTCAGGTGATCCCGCCCCTCCCTTGCAGCGCGGGACCAATGGCGTGGCTGTGGGCGGGGATTTGGAGAAGGCGGTCCGCCCATGCGCCGGGCGAGCCGTGTATCGATTGGTTGGCGCTGCGAGCGCAGGTGCGCGCTTCCTATTGGGTGTGGGCGGAGCGCGAGCGGCCGAGGCTGCTTGGAGGCGGCAGGTGAGCGCGCGCACGAGCCGCGGCTCTGGCCTGCTCGGGTTCGCGCGCGCGGGCGCGCTGAGGAGAAGACTCAGAGCGAGGCTGCGGAGCCTCTGGCCTCTGCTCCGCCCTCTCCTCCTCCGCCGCGGCTGCCGCCGCCCCCGAGGCACGGAGGGAGGGAGCCGCGTCCCCGCCCGCCGCGTCGCCAGTCCGACCCTCGGTCCCGCCGAGTGAGCAGCTCGCCGAGCCGAGCTGAGCGCGGCCCGCCCCAGGCGCGGCCGCCCCCTCTGCAGGTGCCTGTGACCGGGCGCCGCGCCGCAGCCGCGCTCCGAGCCCGCCGGCCGCGCACTCGCTGCCCGCGCTCCTGAGTGGCGGCCGGCCSGAGGAGGCCGCCGCGGCCGCGCCTCAGCATGAACCGCGGCCACCGGCACGGGGCGGGCAGCGGCTGCCTGGGCACCATGGAGGTGAAGAGCAAGGTGCGCGGGGCCGGGCCGGCGGGCGGGGGGCTGCGGGGCTGCTGCAGACCCGGGGGGCTGCGGGGCCGGGGGCTGAGCCGCCGAATCGGGACCTCTGCTCCGCGGCAGTGGGAGCCGGGGGCTGGGGGCGCCGTGGCCGCTCCCGACCCCGGCGGGCGCCTCTTCTCTTCCCTGAGCCTGGTTCTCGTTTTCAGGGTGGGGGTGAGGGCCAGGTGTACCCGAGCATGGGGAGCGTTTGAATGCAAGGTGCAGCAAAAGGTTTGGGGGAATCCTMCCTGCTGGGCACGGGTACAAGGCTTTTGGGAAACCAAATTGTCACATAATGTCCCCCTTTCCGTGGCTCTGGGGTGCATCGAGTAATGAAAGGGGATCCCGGTGAACTAAACAACCCTCTTAAAGTTAGATCTGCTTCCTCCTGTGGCTTTTTCTAGTTCTCACATTGGTATGCATTTAATCTATGAAATTAGCACTATCACCTTACCTTGGAGTGGCACTCTGCACTCGAGTCGCTGCTCTTTTCATTCCACCTTGCTGCCTTTTCACATTAAGTGCTTTCACCCTTGACCACCGGTATGCCAATCTGCTGATAATTACTTTGGTATCCACCGAATTCCTAAATCTCAAGGCTCGGTGAGCAGAGTAGTCCATGGGGATTAGTTAGGGAATGCTTTCCGATGGAGGTTTTCAGCTGGAATTTGAAGGTGATCAGCAGACACTGAACTTTTTCAGCAAGCTTTTCATGAGTTGAAGAGCCAAAAGAAGCCTAGATCATGTAGTCTGTTCCCAGAGAAGTACGAGTTGAGAAGATGGGATCAGAAAGGTTTTGACTAGCCCAGGCTCTGCTTTGTGATAAAGCCTTCCACTTAAAGTCTTTTTACCAAATAACTTTTATAGACACTATTGAACACAAGTCAGAGGGCACTGGCTGGATCCTGAGAATATGTAAGACAGAATTGGGAGTTGGCCTGGTGGCACATGCCTGTAATTCCAGCAACTAGGGAGTTGGAGCCCAGCCTCAGCAATTTAGTGAGACCCTATCTCAAAATAAAAAGGCTGGGGATGTAGTGCAATGGTGGAGAACCCACTGGGTTCAATCTCTGGTACTGGAAAAAAAGTCGAGAAGCACAGACCATGTAAAGAGGAGATGTAGAATCATATCAAATACAAAAATAAGGAAGCGTCACTGATGGTAAGGGCACCGGGGAGAATGCAGAATCCAGAGTGTGTGTATTCACTCATCTGTTTATTTTGTGGTACTGGGGATTGAACCAGGGTTGCTTTACCCCATCCCTTTTTGTTTTTTATTTTGAGAGGGGTCTTGCTGGCCTGGAATTTGTTGTGGTCCTTCCTCAGGAAGCTTCAACTTCCCTGAGTAGCCAAGGTTACAGGTGTGTGCCATGTGCCCTGCTCCAGGAGTGACTGGGGTAAGGAGAGTGTCCAGGCYCCTGTGGGTGGAGTGGTGTCATTGTCTAGGTTTGATAAACAAAGTTCTCTAAGTTTCTATAACTCCGAATCACATCAAGAAAATCTACATTTGTTTCTAAATGTTATTTGTGATTTTAGTTCATGTCTATCAGGGTCTAGTTTGAGAAATAGAAGCTTAATCATAACAATTTAAATAAAGAATATGCTCTTGTCACTGTTCTCCTTGGGACACAGCATAGCTTGAACAAAAGGTTAAGGTGACTTAATATATAAAGCTTGTCCTCCAGCACTGTCTGGCAGTCTTGATTCCTTGCCCAGCAGTTGAATCTTCTTGAGGCATTTCTGTTATAAATCTAGTTTGGGTTTGTGAGAGTTGAGGTAAGGAGAGAAAAACACTTGTGGGATTGCATAATCCTGAAAGGCAGTTTATGGTCCTAATCTTGGTAGAAAGTCCTTAAATTTTTATCATAGGAAAGAATGAGTAAGGATTCTAGGTGTACTGATAGTACACTCTAACAGGAAATTATCTCTAGTAGTAGGAAGCCTTGAGCACCAGGAGACTGGAGCTTCAGGCACTTCTCCTTTGTCTTCTGTTGGTTGATTTGTGGAACTTTCTTACACTTAGTCCAAACTACATGGTATAAATTTGACCTGCCGTACTGCACTTCTAGTGAACCATGTCTTTAAAAAAAATTTTTAAAGACATTTAAATACATAAAATTTTGTACTGGAGATCAAATCTAGGGCACTTTACTACTGAACTACAACCCCAGCCCTTTTTGTTTTTTATTTTGAGATAGGGTGTCGCTAAGTTGCAGTCACTGGCCCCCAACTTGTGATCCTCCTGCTTCAGCCTCCGGAATAGATGGGATTACAGGCCTGGGCCGTTGTGTCAGACTCCACATCTCAAATAGAAACAAAGCAACCTGAAAACATTGGCTGAATGAAATGTGGTCCCATTGTTCTGGCTGTTGATAAATAGACACACTAGAGAGACTGATACCTTGTGTGTGTGTGTGTGTGTGTGTGTGTGTGTGTGTGTTATTTTTAAATATACCTTATGTTTTAAATTGTGTGTATGGGAGGGTGTAACTGAAAATTGAACCCAGGACACTACCACTGAGCCATATCCCCAGCCCTTTTTATTTATTTTTTAAAATTTGTTCTAATTAATTACACATGACAGTAGAATGCACTTTTGACACATTGTTCACAAATGGAGTACAACTCCTTCCTCTGGCTGAACATGGTGCAGAGTCCCAACTCCTGTGTAATTACATATGTATACAGGGTAATAATGTGTCCCCAGCCTTTTTTCTATTAGAGACAGAGTCTCCGAGTTGCTTAGGGCCTTGCTAAGTTTCTGAGGCTGGCCTGGAACTTGGAATCCTCCTGCCTCAGGCTTCCAAGTTGCTGGGATTACAGGCGTGCCACTGTGCCTGGCTTAAATGTATTTATTGTATTTTTAATGGATTGGAGGAAACATTTGTCAGCTTCACCATTTAAAAAATATTTGATAAGATTTCCTTTTTTTCAGTGCTAAGGATGGAACCCTGGGCCTCATGCATGCTAGGCAAATGCTCTCTCTGTCACTGAGCCAGATGGCAACCCCAGCCCACTCTCTTATGCTACTTTAGTGATACCACAGCTTTTTACAAAACTGATCTTGACAGGGTTGTAGGTAAACTAGGTAAAATGCAGATCCACATTTTAGGACCTATTTTTCTTTTGCATAGAAAACAGTAGTGTCAACTGAGGTTTTTGTTTTTGTTATCTTTTGCTCAGGTTAAGAAAAAGTACAGATAATAAAAATAATGGATAATGTAAATATMCCCCCAGTTAAATTTGTGATACACGCTACCATGTGACCTCTTTAGTGAGTGATTTATCTTCCTAATTGTTCCTGTAGAGTTGGGGAAAGTTCTAAATAATCATGGTGATGTCTTTAATAACCTTGGAGCAGGGCTGGGGATATCGGTCAGTGGTAGAGTATTCACTTAACATGCTTAAGACCCTGGCTTTGATCCTCAGTGCCGTAACATTTCCTAATTATTATTCGTGGTTTATTATTCACTGGGTTTGCATTCCTGGACTGTACCAGCAGATTTATTTCTATAGTACTGTTTTTTTCTCATGTAGTAAAAAGTTCTCTCAATCCTCTTGTTTTGTGGCAAGAGACACATCCATTTCTTTTTTTCCCTTTTCTGCCAGCATTTGTAAAAGGACACATCTATTGTGAAGCCATACAGTTTTACATTGTCCTTGTCATAGTAGTTAACTTAGAGAAAAAAATGTTGACCAAAGAATTTCATCCAAAAACTTTTGCAAAGGCAAGAAGCATTGAAGTGTTAAGTTATTAGGTGTTACTCCCCTTCACACATCAGCAAAGGGGCCAGCCTGCGGATGAGTCAGAAAGCACTAGACTCTACTGTGATACCAGAATCTAGAAAATGGAGGAGAAACCATGGATTGATAACATCAGGAGACTAACTGATAGGAAGGGTGTTCCCTCACTTTATTTACCTTGAAATGTGAAGGTGTGACTGAGCTTTCTGAAAGCTTTAGGTGTGAGTCACCTTATTTTCTTGACAAATGTTAGTGTTTGTGTTCCAGGAATGTATTTTGGAAACAGTTTTAATTATTAGAGGTAAGAGGTAGTAAGTTTTTATTTTAATTTAGTTTAAAACCAGTGAGTGGTATGGCTGTAAGCAAGACAGACGGACGTTTTAGATAGAGCAAAAACAATGGGTCCAGGTAGCTTTGGGCCTTTTGGGAAATGAACTGACATATTTGTAAACTGTTCACAATGTCACGATGGGGACTTTCTCTGTGGTGCTTGTGGTGTCCCAGTGGTGTATCAGTATTTTCTGGTAATAATGGGTGGTTGAAAGACTGGGTGGCAAACATGGGTTTTAAAAGCACGTGCTCTACCACTGAGCTCTACCCGCGGCTAAAACCTCTACTTGGGACTTACCAAGGTTTTTGTTTGTGTTTTTTGGGCGAGGTGCTGGGCATGGACCCCAGAGCTTCGGAAATGCTAGGCAGGTGCTCCGCTGAGCCCTACCCCTAGCCACTTAACTGAGCCCTTATTATGTCTGTAAGAGGGTGATTCAAGTTAGGTAGCATATCCCAAGCTTAAGTGACTGGGACACTCTTCAAGGAAGGCTGATGAGCCTTTCTTAGTTTTCCCTACTTGAGGAAATGCCATGCGGATCCCGCATTAAGTTCCAGGTGCCGTTGGTGGACTGGGTGAAGCCAGTCCGAAGTCTTGACTAAGAACACTGCAGTGAATTGGCCTCGGGAGGGCAGAGGTGTCGGGAGGCAGACTTGAAAATGACAACAGGAAGATGAGGGGAGACACTGATGGAGGTGTCTTCCTTCTTATCTGTGTTCCCTCAGTGCCTCCCTGCAGTAATTATCCCTTTTGCCCACTAATTAGGGAGCTTCTAAAGCAGGCCCAAGCCTTGCAGTCCCCGGGGTCCAGCACCTGCTAAGCACGTAAACACTTCTTGCACTAATTGGCCAGTGGTAGGGTGTGCATTTGATGTATTAATCAAGCCTGTTTCTACCTTAACACAGGGAAGGTTCTTATCCCTGTACTTCTTACTTGGGGCAGTGCTGAGCTCCAGCCGGGGCCTCGCACAATGGGCAGGCACACCACCTGGGCAGGCACACCAGCGCGGAGCACGGCCGCCGCCTGCCTGTTCCTCACGTGGTGCCCCCACTTGCATCAGACCTTCCTGTCAAAAAGCTCAAAGTCCTTTTTATATATTTTGCTATTGATTCTTGCCACATCCCATGAGATGGTAGTTCCTTTTACGGGAAAAGAAACTCAGATGCTTTCTACTAGTGGTCGGAATAAAGGCTGAGCATGTCTCCGTCCTCCGCGGCCGGGCAGAGTGAGGAGAGCACTGCTGTGGGTCTGGACTCCAGGCAGGCTCTGGGCTGAGCCACTGCAGGGCAGTGCCCAGGGAGGCCTGGGCACCGTGGAGCGGGCGAGGCCTGCGTCTCTGAGAGTGCCCTTCAGAGACCAGCAGTGGGGCATAGTCTTGTGCCATTCTTCTGTTTTGGAATCTGATAATGAGGCTGCTGACGAGGGACCATCTTCTTTATTAAGGGGAACACTACTGTGCTTGTGTGCTTCTGGGCTGTGTGTTTTCAAACTGGGTCCCTCTGTTACTTTTTTTTTTCCCTAAAATCACTATGTTGTGTTTGTAGTTTGGAGCTGAGTTTCGTCGGTTTTCACTGGAAAGATCAAAACCTGGAAAATTTGAGGAGTTTTATGGCCTCCTGCAGCATGTTCATAAGATACCCAATGTGGACGTGCTGGTGGGCTACGCCGACATCCACGGGGACTTGCTGCCCATCAATAACGACGACAACTATCACAAGGCCGTGTCCACAGCCAACCCGCTGCTTAGGATCTTCATACAAAAGAAAGGTAAGTATCATTGTTTAGAAAAATTCTTAGAAATAGAAGTAGTGTATTTCCCCCATTTGATTGGATACACAGACTTGCTACAAACTTACTGAATAAAGATTCTATGTAAAACCTTTTTTTTTTTTTTTTTTTTTTGGTACCAGGCATTGAACTTGGGAGCGATTAACTACCGAGCCACATCCCCAACCCTTTTTAAAATTTTATTTAGAGACAGGGTCTCACTAAGTTGCGGATGCTGGCTTTGCACTGTGATCCTTCTCAGCCGCTGGGATCACAGGTGCTCACCACCATGCCGGCCTGTGTGGATCTCTTTACCATGTTAATGGACAAGTAGGTCGAAACGTGTGATGTTGTTGGTTTAATTAGTATTTTTACACTTAGACATTGAGTGTACTTTTGAAAATTTGTTTTTAATTGTTTTTATTTTAACTTCTTAGGCTTTTTTAAAAATAGAAACTAGAAATTTATGAAATCTTCACCTTCTTTTTTTGTAATATTTATTTTTTAGTTCTAGTTGGACACAATACCTTTATCTTGTTTACTTATTTTTATGTGGTGCTGAGGGTCAAACCCAGGGCCTCACACTTGCTAGGCAAGCGCTCTACGGCTGAGCCCCAGCCCCGCCCCATCTCAGCTTCTTGACTGGATTGCTGTCCATGTGGAAAGACGGTGACGAGAGCTTGGCAGTTGGGTGGTGACCCACTGTAAGTGCTCTGTCACCCACTTCGTCTTCCAGCTCTCCGTGTCGTTACAGGGTGGAGGTAATTGTGTGGGCTGCTGGAGCTGGAACCCAAGGCGCTGTATCCTGAGGTCTCTGAGTTGCGAAGAGTCTTGCCCAGGTTGGCCTCATGCTTGTGGTCTTCCTGCCTTAGCCCCCAAGTGGCTGGGATTGCAGGATTGGGCCCCATAGTCAGCTGAATAGGAAATCTTGTGGGTGACTGCAGATCACTTAGTTCAGAGCAGCGCCCTGGCTTACAGTAGGCACCCAGGAAATGTCTTCTTTCTTTTCCTTTTTAGGATGCTTGTCACAGAAATAGTATAAAACTAGTTAATTGTCTGGAAAATGAGGTAGCAAGTCATGGATTCAGAGATGTGTAAGCGCAGTCTCGTAAAAGAACATTTGCTGTGACTGTCTGGCAGGCATTTTCAAATGTTTTTGGAGTCCCAAAATTTTTCGAACTTTATAGCCTCCTACGTGTGTGTGTGTGTGTGTGTGTGTGTGTGTTTGCACACAAAGTGGGCAGGGTAGGCATCATGGTGTGTGCCATTTCTGTTTAGTAAGAAGTCTGAGGTTTTTAAGAAGCCAGCATGACAGCGTGGAGCCCAGGGTTGGGATAATGGAGCCTTTAGAACATAAAGGTTGGTAAACCAACCCAGAAAGTGGTTTGAGAAAAGGGTGGTGATCACCCTGAAGGGAAAACTTTGTTTATTTGGACCACTCCGCTTTGAGATCCCACTGATAGTGTATCTTTGCTTTTCTGGGTTTGGAGAAACTAAAATCAACAACAAATAAACCTCCAAGGATAACTTCTGTCCCTGTCACTTGACTTACTGACAGAATCTTTCAGAATCTCCTGAGGCAGATATCAGAGCTGTTCAGCTGGGGTGTGGTGTGGCCAGGGCCTGGCCTTGGGAAGATGGTTCTGGCTGCTCAGGATGGGCCAGGAGGGTAGTAGCCTTGGGACAGAGAGCCAGGAGCAGGTGTTAGACAGCAGACCCACCGAGAAGCTGCCCAGGAGGGGGAGAGGCGCGGAAAGCCCTGGACAAAGGTACGCCGCGAAGTGGCTGAGTCAGGGTGTCACACCGGCTGGCGCAGAGAAGGCTGCGTCTGGCTGCTGGGGCCGAGTCGAAAACCAGCGGAGGGTGAAGGAGAGATTGATTTAGGAAAGAAAATTTGGTCCTAGGACAAATAATTTATCAGGCTGATGGGTCGAACATGCCGTCCAGAAGACTGGGGCCAGGATGAGGATCTGGAGCCTGCTGGACTTGAAGGTCGCCGACACGGGGCAGGTGAGCGTGGGCGAGTAAGTGGCGGGCCTGTGCAGTGAAGACCAGGCTAGAACCCTGGAAGGCGAGACCAGGATGCTGGAGGACGACAGCGCGTCCAGGAGTGACGAGGACAAAGCAGTTGAAGGGAACTGGTCATCTTAGGCAAATTAACTTGGGTCATTTTGGTTGAATAATGATCTTCTCTTATTAGCAGTTAAAATTTTTATTAAAAATTTAGTTGCTGCTTATTCAAATGTAGAATGATTTTTTAAACTACAGCTATCAGACAAAATTTTGCTGGATCATCCCCTTTGTTAGGGAAAGATTATCAGAGTCAGGTTTTGAACACGTCACATGTTTTACTCCTAGAAGGTTAACACTTTCATGCCCATGGAGTCCTATCATCTTTTAAAGTTATCATGCCAGGTGTGGTGGCCTCTAATCCCAGTGGCTCTGGAGGCTGAGATAGGAGGATCATGAGTTCAAAGCCAGCCTCAGCAATTTAGCAAGGCCCTAAGCAACTCAGTGAGGCCCTGTCTCTAAGTAAAATATAAGAAAAGGCTGGGGATGTGGCTCAGTGGCTAAGTGCCTGGGCTCAGCCCGGGCTGCCTGCCTTCTGTCCGTCCCTGGTGCAGTTGATGGCCCTGTGCTGGGCTTGCTTCTGCCTGGCTGCCCTGCTGAGCTCAGCCAGCTTTGTTCGGGTCTCTTTTGACCACCCTCCTACCTCTCCCGCTTTCCCTGTGAAGACCTGAAGCGCGTCTTTGAGCGTGCTAGCTTGTGTTTTCTGTCTTGTTTACCAACACGTCCCAGCATCTGAATTGGTGACAGACTTACACTGTGCAGTGTGATTCATGTCCGTGCTTTTTTTCTTTTAAACAAAGATAAACAGATGGTTAAGTAGAAGGCTGATTTTATGAAAACCTTAATGAACAGTGAATTCAGGAAACTAATAGAAAAGGTGACATTAAGTACAGTTACATTTGACTGCTTAATTACAGCACATTCTGTTTCCTTAGCTGTTGATATTCCAATTAAGGATCAATTGAGCAGCAGTTGTACTTGATGTGGTACCAAGGGAGGTTTTTTAAAATGATTATTTGTGTGTGTGTGTGTGTGTGTGTGTTGCTGGGGATTGAACCCAGGGCCTTGTATATGCGAGGCAGGCACTCTACCAACTGAGCTATATCCCCAGCCGAAATGTGATTTTTTWAAAAAAAARAAATTCCAAAACCATTTAGATTTTGAAACCATGTCATCTTTTAAAATTTGATACTCTACTAAAAAATGTGTCTTTGAAGTGAAAGCTAGTAATCGAATGTGTAAAATACTTTATAGACCCAATGCAAGATAGCATTGTTGCATATTTTGAAGTTTTATGTTTTATAACAATTTATTTAAAGAAAAAACACTCCATTTCGTGGGCTGTTATCACAGAAACAAAAATAAAACAAAAAACATATCTTAAAAGTTATTTTCACAAAGAAGATTCTCAACTTTCAACAAGCACCCCTGTTGGAGCATTAGAGTTCATCCTGATGTATTTGGGAGAGGAGAAGGACAAAATAGTTTTCTCTCTCATTTTTTATGCTACAACTATGCACTGAACAGTTTTAGGAAAACATTCTTTTAAAAATACCCCCCCGTTTTTTTTGTTTTTTTTTTTTTTTAAGACAAAACCCAGGTCATTTCTGTAGGTTGGGATACAGCCAGGAAAATGGGTTTTTTCAGTTTCCCAGTTGTGATCAGCCAAGTTGGACCCAGTAACTTGTCAGAGCACCCCCAGCCCTGCCTCATCGAGCCAGAACATCTGCACCCAGACTTTTTGCCGCATCACTGTCTGTTTTTACATATCCAACAAGAGTGCTCACATCTTGGATTGTTCAGGAGTTTGTTAGAAATGCCAGCAGAGCCTTGCTTTTAACTTGGTCCCACTTAGGACCTGTCCTCACAAGGATGTGCCCTTTGTGGCCTGAACACCTGTATCTAGGTCTAGGCCATGACATCATCTGAGCCCTTGATCTTGCACCGGACATTCTTTTGTAGATGTATTTTATGGTCTCTTTTTAATGGATCAGGGTTTAATTTTATAACAACCCAAGGGATATAAATATTATTTATTTATTTTATGGAACTGGAAATTGAACCCAGGGGCTTACTGAGCTATATCCCCAACCTTTTTTTTTTTTTTTT